CTGAACCACACCACGAAGCATCAAATATTTAGACTGCCTGGTGCACGGCTCTCAGTGATGCTCCACTCGGCAAGCACTGACCCTTGCGTACCTGCCCACTTTGCTGACCCCTGAGCCCCTTGCTGGGGGGTGAGCAGCAGTGTGTTACTGTTTAAAATGAAATCAAAGCCCCCTGCATCCAGATGGGGTCCAGACCCAGTTCCTGGCATGCTGTGATCTGTCTTTGACGTGCACAATGCAAGCTTCTTCATGTTGGGCAGGAAGCCTACACTATGGGAAGAGTTTGATGCAAACCCCAGGGACACAGCTCTGGCCTGAATCCCCCTTATCCCTAGCTGGGCCACACTCCCATCCTTTCCTGTTTAAAGCACAAAACCTCTATCATTCCCCACCTCTTGACATTGCCCCTTTGCTGACAGCATCTGGGAGCAGGTATGAGGAAGGGGCTGGGGCAGGACGGACCTTGGGCCAAGGAGCCTTGCTGGCTGGTTTCACCTGGCCGGCTTTACCTGGGCTCCATGGAGTAGGCCTGGTGCTGCTCTTTCCCAACCTCAGCCCATGGGGAAGGCACAATTATGTGGCTTCTCTGATGCCCTACCCACACCTGGCGCACCAGGGCCACCATTGGCTTCCTCTCCCACGCATACTGGAGACAGAGAGTTTGAGTTTATGCATGGGGCTGCTCCCAAAACATCTCCGCAGCCTTGTTTCCAGGCCTGGTGCATGCAGGGCAGGTGCAAGTCAGCGGACACGCTCTTTAATGGCATCCTCAAGAGCAGTGCAGATGTACCCTGCGGGGAGGATGCCCAATTTTGCACTCTTTTCCAAGAGACTGGGCCTATTGCTCTTTGACTGGCATCCAAATTCAGGCCAGACTGTGCTGTCACTGGGAGGTGCACACTGGGAGGAACTCCACTGACTTCCCTCTGCCTTGCCCTGTGGTCGCTGGGATCCGAATGTGGCCGCGAGGTGCCTTTATTCGTTTTTTCGCCCCCATCCCACACAGAGCTTTGGGCCCGAGAGCAAACGCACTATTTATAGAGCCGGGAAGGCAAGTTTCAGTCTGAATAGCTCAGCACGGAGACTCGACAGGAGCTGGAGACAGCCTGCAGGTCCTGAAAAGCATTGGCAGGGCTCTAATGTGCCGGAGACTCGCAGTTCTTCTCTGCGGTGTCACAGCAGCCTTTATGTTTGTATCTGTCATATGTGACAAGCCAGCATTCGTTAGGACCAATTCAAGGCCGGAAAGGGGCTGGCATTTATCCACCCGCTGACAAAGGCTGATTTAGAGGAGATGGAGGGGAAAGTCTCTGTGATTCTGGGAGCCAGCTTAGCCCTCTCCACTGAGCTGAGCGGTGCAATGGGGGCTGTGCTGGGAAGAGGAGTCAGGACCCTTCCTTCTCCTACTCCCTTCATCAGGAATTAGAGAATACAGTATCCAAGAGGTGCAGATCCCTATGCCATACCTTGAAAGCAAGGACTCTGGATCCAGTCCATACAGTACTTCCATCTCCTGGGAGTGTTTTCATTGGTTTTATTGAAGCCATTGAAATAGCCGCTGTCATTGCCACGAGCTCACCATTAGCCCTTTACTCCAGGGCAAGTCTTTGCAGGCTTGTGCTGTGGGTGGAGACCTCCTGCCTTGGTTCAGAGGAGAGTGGGTTGCATGTTTCCAATGGAAATGAACTCTCTGTTCCCCTTGGGTTGAATCGAGTTCAGCTGCTGAACTTTCCAGCCTTCGGGGTGGGATGAAGCTTCAGTGTTCAGTGCCTGCTCTGAGCAGGTTTGAGGAAGGAAACGAGAGCGGCTGCAGGGATTAGGGCATGTCATCCTTTGGCCTGCGTTACGATGGAGAGCAGAGGAGGTGACCATAAGTGGTCCCTTCTGATACGTATTTCCCCTAGATCACCTAAACCATAGTTTCTCAACCTGTGGTACGTGTACCCCTGGGGGTACGCGAGACACAGGCAGGGGGTACATGGGTGCCCCAACACTCTCTCTTGCCCTCTTTTCATCTCAAAACTACGGCAAAAAATGTGGTGCAATTTAAAAAATGTAATTCCCCAGTAATAATTTGGTGTGCCGTGCTTTGCGTGGCGCTGGGTTCAGCCCTCCTAGCTTTGGCCAACATCACCTCTAGCCCAGGTACATACTTGAGTTGTGCACCCCTGATGTAAAAGGTGGCAACCCAGCTCACCCCAGATCAGACATCTGTCATATCACAGCCTTATATACACAGCCCTTCTTCCAACATATGGCACACATTAGTCTGTAAATATATAATCCCCTGGAAAATTGAGTGGCGGGGTACTTATTCAAATTTTCAGAAGTTAGGGGGTACTTGCTACTTAAAAGGTTGAGAAACACTGACTTAATCACCCAGCCACCATGACAAGACTGTTTCCTTCCCATGCATTGCCTGGCTTGCTCCTAAAGTCTCTGTTTGCCTTGGGGATGCTCTTCCCCAGCCTGACAGCGCTTGCCACTAAGAGGCTGTGCAACCAGTCAGACTCACTTAATGAATTAATTCACAGGGTGGGTTAATCCCCATCAAGAGGCAGGTGAAGAAGACACAGCTGAGGAGTACATTTCTTGACTCTAGCTAGTGCTGCCCAGCTCCCGTCTCCCTCCCTGCCTGCTCCTGCCTCTTTGAAGTGGGAGCAGAGAGGACTGTCTCAGCTCAGGAGAGGTAGGGGCTGGGAGGAAGTCCTCTTCTTCCCTTGCAGCCCTTCGCAGAGCTGAGAGGATTGATGGAGAGATTACTTAAATGTGATAGCACCCTGCAACGCTACGTCGGCTACTGATAATGCATCAGCCCCAGAGCATGTGAGAAGGAGCCGGCCTGGCTGGAGGCAGTAGCCAGTTCACTGAGCCAGGGTCATCGCAAAGCCGTGGCCAGACCTGCTCACTGGGTGCCACTTTGGTTTAACCATCAGGTTTCTTTGCAGCTCTGGTCCAAGCCACAGGTCAGGAGGAGTCTCAGCTCCCATCACTCTTAATGTCTCCCCAGCCTTGAAAGCAGAGCGGGATTAGGTAGGAGGCGGTGTCACCGAAGTCACAGCTGTGTGGGAGCCTGGAGGGGATCCTCAGACTGGGATCCTGCATTAGGCTGGAAAAAGGCCATGCCTTTGTCCAGAGCCCTACACCCAGGGATCCCAGACTAGAAGTCACCAACCCACTTTTTGGAACTGCTTTGCCAAGGAATAAGAAGAGAGGGGAAGTGTCTACCCAGTGTCGTGCAGAGTTGGGAAGACGTCTGCCCCAGGCCTGAATCCTCTTCCCCTTCTCCAGTGATAACAGCCTTTTGCATCAACCTCAGTACCTGCCAGCCCCGGTCTCAGCAGTGTCCGAATACTCCCCACACATCACAAGATTTAGCTTTTTTGGGTAGTGCCTCATTCTACAAGCAAACTGAGGCACAAAACCCCCACTTGAAAAGTATTTAGGTGCCTTAGCCTATTGGCCAAGGTGACTTGAGGAGATGATGTGGGTCATAGGACTATCCCCTCCATCACCAACATCACAGACAGGTTCCCTCACCAGACAGCCATGCAGAAATAAAACCACACTTCCTCCCTGAGCTACAACCAACAAGGACCCAGGGAGTGCAATGTCAGAGGGGAGAAAATGCTCTCATTCCTCTAGACTCCTCTACATTTGGGTGGTGGGGATGGAAGGGGGCCGCGGGGTGGGTCTTAGCAATAATAGAGCGGAAAATACAGAGGTAAGAAACATCCAGGTAGAGGAACAGCACAGCGTGTCCCTCCCAGGCTGCCTGGAGGCTACACGTCGGCCCACGCCTGCGGCAGGACTGCCAGCGTGACTGGGATGGCTGTCGGCGAGCGATGTAATGACTAACCGGTTGGACCTGTAGCATTGTTTTCCTCCTTTGCTCTTTCTGCAGCCGCACGGTCCTTCAGGAGCTGCTCGACACAGATCTGAGCAATGAGGCCTTCCCCTTCTCCTCTCACAAGCTGGCGAAGGCGGCTGGATGCATGGTAGGAGCCGGGCCTTAAGGCACCACTTCACAGCAGTGGGGGAGGGAGTTTTTTTGCATCTCGTAGGTTTTCTTGTGCATCGCTGTGGAAGCACAGTGGTGCCTCAGTGGGTCCTTGAGCACTGTGGCCACCGGCCTGCGTTAGATTTGGAAATGAAGCAGTGAAGCCCCAGCGCTGTAGCCACTGCTGCTCTCGAGCGTTGCGTGACACTGGGATTTTGAGAGCAAACGATGTGGGGGGAATGTGTCTGCAGGGTAGCCTCACTGCCTCGTCTCCAGGTCTGATGCATGGGGCACAGAAGTGGATAGACATACTACTCTCACCCCCTCACCTCCCCCCCAAGCCCCAAGGAGCAGAGCCTTGTAGCCCCAGATGCTAAAGGCTGATGCTGGTGAGACCCTGAGCAGACCTACCTGATGTGCGCTGGGTTTCTGTGCTGCTCTGGGACCGTCTTCAGCACATCCGTCCCTCGCACTGGGTTTCTGATGGGTGTGGAGGAGAGGAGGACAAGATGGGAATGGGAAGGACGGGATGCACAAGTCTGATATCGCTTGCATCTCCCAAGGCGGGTTGATACTGTTTGGTGCAATTGCTGTTCTGCCCCAGTCAGAAGATAGGTGGACTTGCAGGGTCACCAGTCTCGGACTGGTATAGGCAGGTCTCTCAGCATCACGGTGTGAGAATAGCTCCCGCAAGCAGGCTTTGAAATGAAGCAGACTGGTTCTGGGGTCTCATACCTGACAATAAGTCAGCTTGTCCTGGCACCAGGCAACCTGGGAGGCCTGACAGCCACTGGCTGATGTGCATCATCGGAGATGCTCCAGGGAGCATCCAGGAAGCCACAAAACAAAGGAGAACGGTGTCATTTCAGACAGCAGCTGCTGGGGACCCTGAGGAACATATTGTGTCTCAGAAACAGCATGTTTCAATATTCCCGACACACGAGATGGGGGGATTTCCCTGAAAATATTCTTGTTTTCTCCCTCCTGCTTTTGGATGATGATTTTTTGCCTGAAAAGTCAGAATTTCTCGCAGGAAAGAAATGTGCCTTCCCCGCCAGGTCTGGAACAGGACTTGGGTGGCTCCTTGAATGGAGCCTGCTCTCCAACCGCGGCTGCGCTCTGCGTGCGTCTGCATGGGAGCGGTGGCACGTAAGGGAGGGTGGAAAGATGCAAGGAGCCCCGTGGAAGATGCAGCTGTGTTGAAAGCTGATCACCGGCAGCTCCACGGCGCCATTGCAGACAGCTCCTGTCTGGGGATTAAGTGGAACGACACTTTTGAAGTGTACCTGTCAGGCAGCGGCGGAGAGCAAGCCCTGGTGATGTGGGCTCCTGACAGGTTTTTAGACAAGCCTGACATTGCCTTCAGCACGTAACTCCATGCACGAGCCTCATCCCTGCTTCTCGGTATGGGGGGTTATGCAGCACTGATCGTGCCCCTGCTTGAAGAGAAGCAGCTCCCTAGACTAGAAGTGAACACTTGAGTCCCGCTGCCCCTTGACCCGGCTCCAGTCTTTCCCCTGGAAAAGAAAGATCAGCTTTAGCTAGCGCAGTCCTTTCCACCGGCATCGTGAAAGCCTCATCTTACTTGCATCCAGGGGGGCTCTGCTGAGCCCCCACGTGCTGCAGTCCTGGGTGGGGGGGTTTTGGTCTGTGTTTCCTTCTTTACCACCATCTTGCTCTGTGCCAAGAGAGAGGTCACTTGGAGAGGTAGCTTGCCTTGAAAGCTCCAAGATCCAGCCACCTTTTCCATCCCTTGTGAGGTTTGGATGCTCCTAGTCGAGGGGATGGCTCCGCTTGCCCCCAGGCTGGGGCAGCCTAGCATATCTGCTCTGGAACAAAGGCCGGCTTCGGTGACTTTCTGCAGCTTGGCTCTGGTTCCCAGGCTTGCAGCGTGTGTAGGAGGGTGGCGAGCGGATGCCTCAGAAATGACCAGGTGTAGAAGCAGCATTAAAATGTTCTTGCAGATAGTAGCCGTCCACGTTGCTCTTTGACCGTCCTTTCCCGCACCCACCCTACATCCCAGACCCGGCACGTGGGGCTGTATCCTCCCCCTTCCAGCACCTGCGGTCAGGGCCTCCTGGATGACGCTGTCCAGCAGAGAGAATCGCTCTCAGAGCCTAGGTTTGCAGTTCGTCTCCAAACCTGGACGTGGACTTGGGCACAGGGGCACGTTCTCGGGGCTTGCAGGGAGCACAGGACAGCATGACTAGCAAACCACATGTCCTGACAAACAAGGGACATATATCTTTTTTCCTTTCCCCTTTTCCCCCTCCAAAGCAAAAAAAGTTCAGATTCTGAAACTTTTGAGAAAGACCCAACTGGGCCTGAACAGCGTTGCTTGCTTATAGAGTATGAGACAGAGTTGCTTATGGAGTAAGGTACGCCATGAGCCTCTTAGCCTGATCCCTAGTGATTCATTCATATGTCTAAATATACCATGCATAATAAGATAGCACACACGTATGTGTGTGTATATTATATAATTATATGCATTTCATATTCAGCGAGGAACTGCTGAATGTTTCAAATGCCAAACTTGCCAGGGGAAAGCCAAGGAGGTCTGCCTATGTCTGTCTGCACTGGCAGATGTGCATCTCTCAGCATGTGCGAGTGAGCAGGAGAGAGACAGCTGCATGAGTAGATAGATATAACTAGATCTTGGCTCTCCTCCCACGCCCTTGGTGTGGCTGCCGCTGTGCCTTTCAGCCACTCTCGCACACAGCTGCGCTCCCTGCGCTTCATGCTCTCACCGGCTTTGAAATGAAAAGCAAAAACAGATTCCTGCCACCGTGCGTGAGGGTGAGAGGCTGGTGGAGAACAGCACGGTCGCGATGTTTTTCCAACACAGGAGGCACCGAGCTGCCTCACCTGCGTGCACCTGCTGGCAGGACAGGTGTTAGCTGGGCTGCTCGATGCTTCAGCCTCACTTGTGGCTTCATGCCACCGTCTGTGCTGTCCCCATGCTTGGAGTGGCGTCTGGGTTGGAGCCCTCCTCTCACTGATCCTTAAAACTGCCCCCTCCCTGAAGCCCTTTTCTCCTTAGCAGTCTCTCTTTTGCTCTTCTCAATGGTCTCACTGGGAATTTTTTTATCCACCTTAGATTGTAAGGGCCAGATGTGGGTGTCCTGCCGCAGGGTGAGTAGCATCTTGCTCCAAGGGGAGGTAAGAGCAGCGCAGTAGTCAGTGTGAGTAGGATTGGTAGATTTGGACTCTGCAGGCGGGGAGCGTGCTTTTCCCGTGGTCTGTAAGTGCAGTGTACATTTACAGGACGGTGTACAGGGCTCGAATTAATGACGGTGACAATGTCTAGCATTTCTTTTGTCAGATTGGTGAGCATTAACGGCCATTTACTGGGTCAGACCCTAAGTCCATCTTGCTCAGCCTCCTGGGTCACACAGCGGCAGAGAGCAGGTGTTGGAAGGGAGAGTGAACTGGGTCTGCCCAGGGGGGTTTCCACTGCTCCTCTCTCACTTGCAGCCTCCAGCATTTGATTTCGTGTCTCAGGCCAAATCCGTTCCAAATGTTATCGACTGAGAATTCAGTTCAATCTTTCCAGCCTCTGTATTGCTACCACCGGCAAGTATCCTCCTTCCCAAACTCTTCAGCCTGGGGCTTCGGACACTCCCAGATCCATGGCAGGCATCCTACATGCAGACCCCAAGCCTGGAGGTTCAGTCTCGATTGCCCTTAGCCAAAAGGCCAAAGGAGCAACCTAGGGAGAAATCCCGCATCTCCATAAAAATAAAGCGTATAGCCTGCCCACAGTGTATTAAGTCTCTACCCTTAACTACACAACACCAGTCAGTAAAAAACCTTGATCTGACCCAAAAGGCCAAGCTATGTTTGACCGAATTGCTTCTCAGCCTCTTGTGGTCTCCAGCACTTAGGGTCTTTTTTTTTTTAATAATATATTTCATGCTCCGGGTCAAATCAGTTCCAAATCCTATCGACTGAGCAGAATTCAATCCTTCCAAAACCCATATCGATAGGGCAGGCAGAATTCAATTGTTTTAAGCACCATGTACGGCGCTATAACTGGTGAGCATCCTCCGTCCCAGGCTCTCACCCTGGGATTTCACATGCTCCCAAACCCATTGGCAGGCATCCTACACGCAGGCCCAGAGGTCTTGGGATTCAGATTCCTCCACTTACTGCAAGCAAACCTCCTCCATCCCAGACTCTTTAGTCCAGGACTTCAGATACTCCCTGCTCTCAAGCGTAACCCACACGAGGCCAGGAAAGGTCTAGGAAGTTCTGATTCAGAGGCTGTGCCCCTCACTCCTGAGCTCAATAGCTACCGATGCACCTTTCCTCCAAAAATGCATCCGGTTTTGGTGCCTGCTGTGGTGGAACGTGATCTGCCACTGGCTGGGCAGCGAGAAAACCCTCGCCGCCCTTTGTGCTGGCTCTGCCGGAAAGAAAAACTCCAAGAGAAAAATGAGAGACCTCTCTTCTCATCTGCACCCTAGGCCCAGCAGGTTTTGCAGCCCAGCCCAGCTGTTTCGTAGCTGTGCCTCGTCTGATCTCTGGGAGGAAGCTGAAAGTTGTCTGATGTGCTAAGTCTTCCTGTGGGTGTGTTGACTTAAACTTCTCAGTTCTGCCAAAGGCACAAAAGAGCCCTCTTGCAGATTAGAAGCTGGAGGTGATGAGAGAGAGAGAGAGAGAGAGCCCCTTCTTAAAAATGTGAGGGATTAACTGCAAAAAAAAAAATAAAAAATTAAAAAATGTCATGTTCTTGTTTTAAAATGCCAGGGCTTGGGCCAATGTGTTTGATCACAGGAGAAGCCTGACAACCTTAAGCTTTCTGTGCAAGCACAGATTTCCTCGAATTTGCTAAGACCTTATATTTAAAGATACTGGTTACACATTGGAAATGCACAAATGGTAATTCCTAATGCTAATGCCCAGAGCTAAGACCCCGAGCGTCTGAGGAAACGTAGCATGCATCCCTTGGAAGAGCGAGAAAAATTTGTCACCGTTGCCTGGTCTTAAACAATT